CAGTGCTGTCCCTCAGTGTCCCCCCTGTCCCCAGAGGAGCTGTGCCTTCGCCTGGCCGAGGCCATGGGGGGCTGTGGGGTGTGTGGGGTGTCAGTGCTGTCCCTCAGTGTCCCCCTGTGTCCCCTCAGTGTCCCCAGAGGAGCTGTGCCTTTGCCTGGCCGAGGCCATGGGGTCTGTGGGGTGTCAGTGCTGTCCCTCAGTGTCCCCCCTGTCCCCAGAGGAGCTGTGCCTTCGCCTGGCCGAGGCCATGGGGGGCTGTGGGGTGTGTGGGGTGTCAGTGCTGTCCCTCAGTGTCCCCCCTGTCCCCAGAGGAGCTGTGCCTTCGCCTGGCCGAGGCCATGGGGTGTGTGGGGTGTCAGTGCTGTCCCTCAGTGTCCCCCCTGTCCCCAGAGGAGCTGTGCCTTCGCCTGGCCGAGGCCATCGGGGTGGGGGACGAGGCGGTGGCCGCTCAGAGCGCGGCGGCCCTGGCGCGGCACCACACGGAGCTGAGCGTGAGCCTGAGGGACACCAACTACCCCGGGGGGGAGCTCAGGTCAGCCTTCAGCATCCTCCTCCTCCTCAGTCAGCCTCTACCTCCTCCTCCTTCAGCAGCCTCCTCCTCCTCAGCCTCTGCCTCCTCCTCCTTCAGCCCCCTCCTCCTCCTCAGTCAGCCTCTACCTTCTCCTCCTTCAGCCCCCTCCTCCTTCAGCACCCTCCTCCTCCTCAGTCAGCCTCTGCCTCCTCCTCCTTCATCCCCTGCCTCCTTCTCAGTCAGCCTCTGCCTCCTCCTCCTTCAGCCCCCTCCTCCTCCTCAGCCTCTGCCTTCTCCTCCTTCAGCCCCCTCCTCCTCCTCAGTCAGCCTCTACCTCCTCCTCCTTCAGCCTCCTCCTCCTCAGTCAGCCTCTACCTCTTCCTCCTTCAGCCTCCTCCTCCTCAGTCAGCCTCTACCTTCTGCTCCTTCAGCCCCCTCCTCCTCCTTCAGCCCCCTTCTCCTCCTCCTTCATCCTCCTCCTCCTTCCACCTCCTCCTCCTTCAGCTCCCTCCTCCTTCAGTGCCCTCCTCCTGTCCCTCGTCCCCTGCCTTCTCCTTCTGCCTCCTCCTCCTTCATCCCCCTTCTCCTCCTTCATCCTCCTCCTCCTTCCACCTCTTCTTCCTTCATCCCCCTTCTCCTTCATCCCCCTCCTCCTTCAGTGCCCTCCTCCTGTCCCTCATCCCCTGCCTCCTTCAGCCCTCTCCTCTTTCATCCCCCTTCTCCTCCTCCTTCATCCTCCTCCTCCTTCATCCCCCTCCTCCTTCAGTGCCCTCCCCCTGTCCCTCATCCCCTACCTCCTCCTGCCTCCTCATTCTTCATCCCCCTCCTCCTCCTTCATCCTTCTCCTCCTTCATTCCCCTTCTCCTTCATCCCCCTTTTCCTTCATCCCCCTCCTCCTCCTCTTTCACCCCCCTCCTCCTCTTCCTTCCTCCTCCTCCCCTTTCCTCCCCTGCCTCCTTCTCTTTCATCTCTCTCTTCTTCCTCCTTCATCCCCTGCCTTCTCCTCCTTCATTCCTCTCCTCCTCCTCCTCCTTCCTCTTCCTTTATCCCCCTCCTCCTCTTCCTTCCTCCTCCTCCCCTTTCCTCCCCTGCCTCCTTCTCTTTCATCTCTCTCTTCTTCCTCCTTCATCCCCAGCCTCTTCCTCCTTCATTCCTCTCCTCCTCCTCCTCCTTCCTCTTCCTTTATCCCCCTCCGCCTCTTCCTTCATCCTCCTCTGCCTCCTCTTCCTCTTCCTTCCTTTCCCTACTTTTTTCTTCTCTTTTTTCCCTTCTTTTTCTTCCTCTTTTTCTTTTGCCTCTTTCCCTTTTCCTTTCTGTTTCTTTTTTCACTTTCTGGGTCCTTCTCCTCTCTCTCCTCCATTCCCTGCACCCCGATCCCACTATCCCTGTATCCCAATATCCCTGTATCCCTGTATCCCAGTATCCCTGTATCCCAATATCCCAGTGTCCCAGTATCCCTGTATCCCAATATCCCTGTATCCCAATATCCCAGTATCCCAGTATCCCTGTATCCCAGTATCCCAATATCCCAGTATCCCTGTATCCCAATATCCCAGTATCCCTGTATCCCAATATCCCTGTATCCCACTATACCTGTATCCCAATATCCCTGTATCCCACTATCCCTGTATCCCACTATCCCAGTATCCCTGTATCCCAGTATCTCTGTATCCCAATATCCTTGTATCCCACTATCCCAGTATTCCTATATCCCAGTATCCCAATATCCCTGTATCCCAGTATCCCAGTATCCCTGTATCCCAATATCCCTGTATCCCACTATCCCAGTGTTCCTATATCCCAGTATCTCTGTATCCCTGTATCCCAGTATCCCAATATCCCAGTATCCCAATATCCCAGTATCCCTGTATCCCAATATCCCTGTATCTCAGTATCCCAATATCCCAGTATCCCAGTATCCCAATATCCCTGTATCCCAGTTATCCCAATATCCCAGTATCCCAGTATCCCAGTATCCCAATATTCCTGTATCCCAATATCCCTGTATCCCAGTTATCCCTGTATCCCACTATCCCAGTATCCTTGTATCCCAGTACCCCAGTATCCCTGTATCCCAGTATCCCTGTATCCCAGTATCCCAGTATTCCTGTATCTCAGTATTCCTGTATCCCAGTATCTCTGTATCCCAGTATCTCTGTATCCCAGTACCCCAGTATCCCAGTACCCCAGTATCCCTGTATCCCAGTATCCCAGTATCCCTGTATGCCAGTATCCCAGTATCCCAGTATTCCTGTATCCCAGTATCCCCGTATCCCAGTATCTCTGTATCCCACTATCCTTGTATCCCAGTATTCCAGTATCTCTGTATCCCAGTATTCCTGTATCCCAGTATCCCTCTATTCCAGTATCCCGCTGTCCCAGTGCCCCATTCCCCCCATCCCATTATCCCGTGTCCCGGTGCCCCGTGCCCCCCGTTATCCCATGTCCCTGTGTCGTTATCCCGTGTCCCGGTGTCGTTATCCCAGTGCCCCGTACCCCACGTTATCCTGTTATCCTGTTATCCCGTGTCCCGGTGTCGTTATCCCATTATCCCATGTCCCTGTGTCGTTATCCCTGTACCCCCCATTATCCCATTATCCCGTTATCCCATGTCCCTGTGTCGTTATCCCGTTATCCCACATCCCGGTGTCATTATCCCATTATCCCACGTCCCGGTGTCGTTATCCCTGTACCCCCGTTATCCCGTGTCCCAGTGTCGTTATCCCTGTACCCCCGTTATCCCGTTATCCCGTGTCCCTGTGTCGTTATCCCGGTGCCCCGTGCCCCCCGTTATCCTGTTATCCCGTTATCCCATGTCCCGGTGTTGTTATCCCTGTCCCCCCCGTTGTCCCGCTATCCCGTTATCCCATGTCCCTGTGTCGTTATCCCTGTACCCCCCGTTATCCCGTTATCCCATTATCCCATGTCCTGGTGTCGTTATCCCGTGTCCCTGTACCCCCCGTTATCCCGTTATCCCACGTTCCAGTGTCGTTATCCCTGTACCCCCCGTTATCCTGTTATCCCGTTATCCCGTTATCCCATGTCCCTGTGTCGTTATCCTGGTGCCCCGTACCCCCCGTTATCCCGTTATCCCGTTATCCCGTTATCCCGTTATGCCACGTCCCGGTGTCGTTATCCCGGTGCCCTGTACCCCCCATTATCCCGTTATCCCGTGTCCCTGTGTCGTTATCCCTGTACCCCCCGTTATCCCGTTATCCCACGTCCCGGTGTCGTTGTCCATGTACCCCCCGTTATCCTGTTATCCCGTTATCCCATTATCCCATGTCCCTGTGTCATTGTCCCGGTGCCCCATGCCCCCCATTATCCCATGTCCCTGTGTCGTTATCCCTGTACCCCTGTTATCCCGTTATCCCAAGTCCCGGTGTCGTTATCCCGTTATCCCGTGTCCCGGTGTCGTTATCCCAGTGCCCCGTACCCCCCGTTATCCCATTATCCCGTTATCCCACGTCCCGGTGTCGTTGTCCCTGTACCCCCCGTTATCCCATTATCCCGTTATCCCATTATCCCATTATCCCGTTATCCCATTATCCCATTATCCCGTTATGCCACGTCCCGGTGTCGTTCCCAGCATGGCCGTGTGGGTGGAAGATGCCACGTCCTCGGCCAACATCACCCTGCGGGTGCGGCCCCACCTCACCATCGGCACCCTCAAGGAGCAGGTATGGGGGGCACCTGGGGGCACCTGGGGGGCACCTGGGGGGCACCTGGAACTCACCTGGGAACTCAT